GGGGGGGAATTGTTGTTGTATCCAGCTGATGGATTAGCCAGAAGGATGTAAAGGATCCTGGTGAGAAAAAACATTTCTGCTCTGGGTGGTCCCTGTCCTCTGGGACTCATGGAGGAGTTTGGGATTATGAGCACACACAAATGAATGGTTTTGTGAGCCTGAGCTGTTCCCAAGAAGCTCCCATGGGGATCACAGTCGATTCTTAAAAGACCCCTCAACATGGTTTGGAAACTAGTTTCGTTCGGAGAAGCCTGAAACGGATGTGGCTCCTCTTACAGATTTGGGGTTAGCAGACTCGATGCATGATGAACTGGGCTTTCTTAAGAAGACTGGAGAATGGACCTATCATATCTAACTGGAAAACCATTTGGAAAATGGACGACCAAGAGCTTTTAGGATTTGGGCGAATAAGACACAACTGTTGTCTTATTGTGCTCAACTTAAAATTTTAAGAAAAAGTTTTATTAATAAGATTCAAGCAAAGATATATTGTCCCGGACAAATCAGAGACAATGATTCTGGTGATTTCTTGTAAATAAATCTCGTAAACTTTATACAAATTAAATGGAATATTAGATTATTAACAAAGTACTTTGATGTTTAACTTGATTGTTGTTTCACCTGTTAATTACAATGCCTTTATAGATCATAGATAGACAAATGGCTGTCCAGTCTCCTCTTTAAAAACCCCATTGATGGAACACCCACAACTTCTATAGGCAAAGCATTTTCACTGATTGTTCTCACTGAAAGGAAATTTCTCCTTGATTCTAAGTTGCATGTCTTTTTATTTGTTTATTTATTATTGCTGCCTATTCGCCCATGGTGACTTGAGGTGGCTTACACAATGTAAAACCATATTTAAAACAAAAAATAAAAACAAACAAAAAGAATCAAATAAATTAGTAAAGTACAAGAGAACAAGATTTGGAAAAAATTTAAAAATTAAAAATCATCCCGCAACTCCCACCCTATGCCCTGACAACAGATCACACTAGCCATTTGATGGGCTCCATCCCGCTCTGAGTCCCACCAGTGTATCTCCCTCAGGGATGGGACCGGCAACATTCCCTGCCTCCCCACTCTAATGGGTCAGGTAGATGTGATCGGCAAGGGGTGTTCCCTCAGATAGCATGGTCCCAAGCTATGAAGGACTTTAAAGGTGACAGCCAGCACCTTGAATTGCACCTGGAAGCAAATCGGCAACCAATACAGCTCCTGCAGGAAAGGTGACACATGTGCACACGGAGGTCTGCACAAAACCATGCGGGCCAATGCATTTTGCACCAATTGGAGCTTTCAGATGCTCTTCAAGGGCAGCTCCATGAAGAGCATGTTGCAATAATCAAGATGGGAAGTGACCAGGACATGAGCGACTGTGAGTAGGGACCTCTGGTCAAGGAAACAGCGTAACTGGTACACAACATGCAGTTGCGCAAAGGCCCTCCTGGCCATGACTGCCATTGCTCTTTGGGCAGGAGTCATGAATCCAGGAAAACCCCTAGATTATGCACAGGGTCTGTTTGGGGGAGTGCCACACCATCCAAGACTAAAAGTGGCAATTCTGCCTGAGCCAACGAACTCCAAACCCAGAGCCACTCGGTCTTGCAAGGGTTTAGTTTCAAGCCATTGCTTCCCATCCAGCCCCTAACAGCCTCCAGGCACTGCGAGAGGGAGGACACAGCAACACTTAACTCACCATGGGCCGAGACATACAGCTGAATATGATCAGCATATTGGTGACAACTCAGTCCCTGGTGATGGATGATCTCACCCAGCGGCTTCATATAAATGTTAAACAGGAACAGAGAGAGTACCGAGCCCTGCGGAATCCCATAAAGCAGTGGGGGAGGGCTGCATCTCTCCCCTCCTTTCAACAATGACTGAGAGCGGCTGCAGAGGAAGGAAGTGAAACAAGACAGCACAAGGCTCCCACTCCCATCCCCCGAAGCCGCTCCAGGAGAATCCCATGGTCAATGGTATCTAAATCTGCTGAGAGGTCAAGTAGAGCAAAGATGGATGCACTACCTCCATCCTGCTCCTGCCAGAGATCATCCAAAGGTGTAACCAATTCCATTTCTGTCCCAAATCCAGGCCTGAATCCTCTCGGGTAGGGGTCGAGATAATCCGTTTCATCTAGAAACCTCTGGAGCTGCTGTGCGACCACCTTCTCAACAACCTCCCCAAAAAGGGAAGATTGGAGACAGATTGGAAATTATCCAACCGGGTGGAGTCTAGCAATGGTTTCTTAAGAAGAGGGTGGACCTTAAAGTGCTGGGGCAGCGTCCCCTCCTGTAGAGAACATTAATCACCATTAGAGTCCACCCGCCTCTCGCCTCCTGGGAAGCTTTCACAAGCCAGGAGGGACATGGGTCTAAAATAAAGGTGCTTCTCTGATAACAACAGCCAAACCTCCTCCCCGGCCCTGAGGTCTAGAGTAGTGCCATACTTGATAACCTTTTGATAAGTCTCCCTCTATTACTCTTTGTGCTGCTCTGAGAGGCATTGGACAATAGGTTCCCCCCCCCCCTTTTCTTGTTACAGTCCCTCAAATGATATCACCTCAGACCTTCTCTGTGTTAGACTAGATCAGGCATGTCCAAAGTCCGGTCCGAGGGCCAATTGCCACCCGTTTTCAAATTTCAAGCGGCCCGCAGCCTCTTCTCCCTGCCGGCTCAGCCTGTCATTCATCCCTGCCAGCCTGTGTTTTTCTCATTTAATGTTAATGGTTCAAAAATGTCAGGCTGAATGGTCGGCCTCCACACATTTTCAACTCACCAAATCTGGCCCTCCTTGAAAAAAGTTTGGATACCCCTGGATTAGATATATCCAGTTCCTGGAATAGTTCATTGTAGAACTACTCTGGAGTACAAATACAGAAATTACAAGGAAGGGTATGTTTAAGTCAAAAGAAGAAAATAGAACAATTGTTAAAATTATATGGAGTGTTGTGAAAGTATACAAACTTCCATGACACCAGATTATCAAACCATCAAAAATTGAACAATTCATAATCTGGAACTCTTCTCAGGTGTCCTAGGAGGTCTGTTATGCAGTATTTTTCACATATTGTGGCCATATATTACCAATTCAGTTAACATTTTAAACCATTGCACATTACAACCTATACAACAACACTGATTGGGAATTAAAAGGATATTGTGTTACTGAAAGGGAGCCATGGATTTTTAGGATTGCATGTACAACTACCAAGTGCATTGGAATTGACATGCTTTGTAGACAGTATTTGGGCTGATGATGTATAAGATAGAAAGTCAATGTCAGGATTTGTTATGTTAGCAAATACGCTAACTAGTTGGAAATCTAGAAAACAGACTTCAGATGCCACAGCTTTCCACAGCTGCAGTACAATTCATAGCATTATCAGAATTGTGTCCAGAGATGATATGGGATGTGTGTGTGTGTGTGTGTGTGTAATGGTTTGTTAGTAACGGATCTGAATATTGAAGTGAAAGGAATTATACCAATATTTGAAGATAACACATGTATACAGATGGCAACAGGTGTGAGTACAAATCAAAAAGAAGAATGTTGACATAAAATAATGTAATGTCAGGGAAGCAGGGAAAGAAAATGTAATAAGTCATAATTCATTGTCCAACAGACAATAAATTATGACTTATTACATTTTCTTTCGCTACTTCCCTGACATTACATTATTTTATGTCAACAGATTTTATGTCCACCAGATAATAAATTGACAAAACCATTAAGTATACAAAAAACACAAAGATCTTGTGAAATAATTTGTTTTCAATGCTGTCCAGCTATAAATTGGGGGAGTGTTAGCGCATTAAATTTAGCTGGAACAGAAAAATTGTAGAATGGGCAAGAACAGGCAGCTCTGTGTTGATTGGTTGGAGAGTGCTGGCTCCTGCATGAGGCAATCTATGCTATGATTGGTTGCTGTAGGTGTAAAGAGGGATTTTCCCTGCTTTTTTTCCCTTCTCTGTGCTCTGTACCCTATTTTGAAGGCTGAAGTGGATGTGGGTTCTACAGATTTGGAGTTAATAGACTCGATACATGATGAACTGGACTTTCTTAGGACTGGAAATGGACTTATCATAACTAACTGGAAAAAAATTTGGAAAACGGATCGACCAAGAAGTTTTATGATTTTGGGAAATAAGACACAACTGTTCTCTTAATTGCTCTGAACTAAAATCTTAAGAAAAAGTTTTAGTAATAAGAATCAAAGAAAGATATTTCATCCTGGACAAATCAGAGACAAATGATTCTGGTGATTTATGGTAAATAAATCTTGTAAACTACTTCTAAGGTGGCTGGGGAATTCTGGGGCTCAAAATATGGAGGACACCAAGGTAGAAGACGGAAATTCCATGTGTGGGAATTCCATAACCAATATACAAAAGATACCACGCAAAAGACTTTTTCAGGAATTCCACTACTTCTGCAAAAATCAAATTGCTGCTGATAACGAGAAACTGGTAATTAGCCCTTTTCCCTTTTTCTCCACTTACAAGTCTAATTCTGAGGTATGTTTTAACCTAAATTCCTAATGAGAGATGAGAAATGAAATTAAAGCCTTTTATAAACTCATCAACTTTTCCCTTAGTTGGATTTCCATGTGGGCAATAAGGAACTATTTATGCCAGTAGCATCATCCACAGACAGATTAGTCTCTATGAGTCCTCCAGTATATCGCCAGGTTTGAATTCTGACTGAAATATACAATCAGGTTGCTCAAAAGGTTTCTCTCCTGTGTGAGTCCTCTGGTGTTTCACAGGGTCAGAATTCCCATTGAAACTTTCCCATATTCCACACATGCAAACGGTTTCTCTCCTGGGTCAATCTTCTGATGATTCAGTAGTCAGGAATTCCATCTGAAACTGTTCCCATAAATCAGAATATTAAAAGGGTTTTGCTCCTTTGTGAGTTCTCTGGTGTTTCACCAGGCAGCAATTCTGACTGAAACTTTTCCTGCAAATAGGACATTCAAAGGGTTTCTCTCCTGTGTGAGTCCTCTGGTGTTTCACCAGGCTGCAATTCTGACTGAAACTTTTTCCGCAAACAGTACATTCAAAGGGTTTCTCTCCTGTGTGAGTCCTCTGGTGTTTCATCAGGTTGGAATTCTGACTGAAACTTTTTCCACAAACAGTACATTCAAAGGGTTTCTCTCCTGTGTGAGTCCTCTGGTGTTTCACCAGGCTGGAATTCTGACTGAAACTTTTCCCACAAACAGGACATTCAAAGGGTTTCTCTCCTGTGTGAGTCCTCTGGTGTTTCATAAGGTTGGAATTCTGACTGAAACGTTTCCCGCAAACACAACATTCAAAGGGCTTCTCTCCTGTGTGAGTCCTCTGGTGTTCCACCAGATAAGAATTCTGACTGAAACTTTTCCCACAAAGAGGACATTCAAAGGGTTTTTCTCTTGTGTGAGTCCTCTGATGGCTCACTAGGCGAGAATTCTGCCTGAAATTTTTCCCACAAAGGGGACATTCAAAAGGTTTCTCTCCTGTGTGAGTCCTCTGATGATTCAGCAGACTGGAATTCTGCCTGAAACCTTTCCCACAGTCAGTACATTCATAGGGCTTTTTTCCTGGGTGAGTCCTCAGATGTGTTACCAGGTTGGAATTCTGGCTGAAACCTTTCCCACATACAGGACATTCAAAAGGTTTCTCTCCTGTGTGAGTCCTCTGGTGTATCACCAAGTCATAATTCTGTCTGAAACTTTTCCCACAAAGAGGACATTCAAAGGGTTTTTCTCCAGTGTGAATCCTCTGATGTGTTACCAGGTTGGAATTCTGGCTGAAACCTTTCCCACATACAGGACATTCAAAGGGTTTCTCTCCTGTGTGAGTCCTCTGGTGTTCTGCCAGATGAGAATTCTGACTGAAACTTTTCCCACAAAGAGGACATTCAAAGTGTTTTTCTCTTGTGTGAGTCCTCTGATGGCTCACTAGGTGAGAATTCTGCC